ACCCATACCCTCAGTTTACGCATTTTGTGTTACTATAATGAAGATGAAGAAGTTTTGTAAATTCCCCATTTTAGCCCCAAAGTAGCTGTGCTGACAAGCTATTTTTAATGAAACTGGCGGCATTGCTTTCATAAACGTCTCGGAAAGAAGCCTTTTTTGGTATATTCACAGGTCAACTAATAGCGAACGGCATAAGGCAATTTAATGGCCTTCGGTAGTTTTTATCAGGCTCCTAAAATAACACATAAAATTGGGATTAATAATCGTTTTTTGACATGAAACTGTTTGTCACTTTTACTCACAACACATTCAGTTCATCTCCGGTGTCAGCGTTTTTAGGTGGAAGAAAACTTGTGTAGTGGTCTTCCTCTTTTTCTAATGAGATTATTTTTGAAATGTTTTGAAAAAGTATGCAAGGGTTCTAACTCGGGATGAATCCACTGGCCGATAGATCTCGATCATTCTAAAACACTTCAGCCAAATCTATTCGTAAAGAAGAAAACTTTTTTCCGAGCAGGGAAAGGATTTCAAATTAGTAACTTTGTTAGTTTGATTTCCTAATATGCCTGTCATTGTGCTTCGGATTAGTAATAAGGGGTGCACCAGATATAATGGCCGCGCTTTGCATTTCAATTTTCATCCACTTAATATACTGTATGAAAAAAATAAAATATACCACGAGATGCAGCGTGAAAAGCTCTACAATGTACATAGTAAAGCTTCTTGTAATTGTGTTCAAAATAAATGTGAAAACCTCGGATTTAAATCCGAAATTTATGTGTACTACAAAAAGTGAATGAGACAAATCGGTCATCCTAAAATGTGTGGATATAAAGATTAGCCTGGCAAACCCTTTCTATAAACACTTGAATTCTATTGGTTACCGCTCAACCAATAAGATTTCTGGGTGAATACAGCTCAGATTTGAATTCTTCGTCTTGAGTTATCCTCATAAAGTCGTTTTTCCTATAACTTGATTTCTATTGGTTACTGCTTAACCAATGTGGCTTCGAGTCAAGTGGATCACAGATTCGAGTTCTCCATCCCAGAAAACCTCGAAGTATTATCTCTGTGATCGGAATATAGAGCTCTAATCGTGGATTGATTAGAGCGCAGACAAAAACAGAGTCGATTTCCGTTGATTTATACTTGCAATAGGTGTGCTAGCCTTCTTATTTCTTTATATTTTATATCCCATTTAGTAGCTCGTGAAATTCTCTATCGAATGGTATATAATAGTTGAGGTTTTATTTGACTATGATAGGGAAAATGTTTTACGAAAGTGGGGATAGATCGATTTTCCTATACGAAGCCGTAGGGAAAAATCAGTATTTTTGCAATAACTCAGGAACGGCTCGGCCAATCCTTCTCATCTTCGAACTCGACCGAGATAATGTTAAGACTAAACTGTATAGGAAATTTCATCGTGATCGGACTCTCCTTTCAAAATTTATCGTGTAAACGGACGTCCGGACGGCCAGACACACTGACCGATTCTAGAGTGTACTCACTTTTTGAGTACACAAAAAGCAAAATTTTGTGCGACCGATTTTCGCACGATCGAAATTGGTTCGCTCAAAATTTTGCCCATTTGAAAAATCCAAAAGTCAAATATAAAATGAGCGGTCTCATGTAAATTGTAGAGCTTTTCACGCTGCATCTTGTGGCATATTTTGGTTTTTTTAATACAATATATTAAGTGAATGAAAATTGAAATGCAAAGCGCGGCCATTATATCTGGCGCACCCGTTATCTTTGAATAAGTTTACGGGAAACATATACTACCTTGCTGTTTGTCAAACTCATCATAAATACCGCTTCCCAGCGTAATATTATTAATATTTGGTCGCTCAAATGTCTCTTCATCTTCCTTTGTTTTGGGCACTTTGTCAATTTGAATGAAAGGACTGTTGAACAACTCTTTACGGCCTTTAAGTTCATCTTCTGAAAATTCATTGCGACTTTTGTTCGAGGTGCAGTGAAACTCAAAACGACGAGCTGGACGATTGAACATAGTGGATATTTTCCAGATGGGTGACGGCACTTTGAACAGCTTGTTCGATAGTAGGTCTCGCATGGCTCTATCCTTGGTTAAAAACTGACTGTATAAATCTTCTTTAACGTCGTCAGTACTCTTGCGGAAATAACGCCACGGATGATGAAGCTTTTCAGCACAGCCTTCCAGATGTTTCATCAGTTGACCGAGAAATTCAAGCGGAGTTTTTTCTTCTACGTTTTCCGATTGAAGATAATACTCTCCATTCTTCTCAATAATTCGGCAGTGAAAATGTTTTCGATTGTTTACTGAGCCACTGGAATACGGCACACTGCAGATCAGTCGATCAGATTTGTCGACAAGATGTAGGCGGACGAATGATATAAGGGTTGGCAGACCATCTTCATCAATGGTGTCATTCAAGCCCCGAAAGTAAGCAATAATCATGGATATGTGGCCATTGCCACTGACAAGCTCTGGATCTTGCGTTCTAAACAAAAACAATCTACACATATGTTTGAAAATCCACTGTTTAAACACTGATCGACTGAATCGGCCATGAAATGTATGTCCAGTACCATCTCGGATCTATCAAAAGAAATCAGGTGGGAGAATTGTAGCTTTTGACCATGTTACCGTTGTACTCAGTATAGTCGTGAACTCTCTCTCAAAGTAGTGCTACCTCTTTTCCTCTCTGGGTTTGAAGGGTGTGGGTGTGGGTGTGGGTGTGGGTGTGGGTGTGGGTGTGGGGTGGGTGTGGGTGTGGAATGTGGGTGTTAGTGTGTGGGGTTTAGGTGTGGGTGTTGGTGTAGGTGCGGATAGAGCAAAAAGTAACACCCACACTCACACCATCAACGGCGTTTAATATACTTCGTCATTTGATATGATACCGAAAAACAGTATCTATCGAGGCGAAACTTCGTATATTTCGATCATGTGTTCTTTCAATATTACTCTATGGTAGTGAAGTATGCTCTCTAATAGTAGCCATGGAGCGCCGTCTGTGCACATTCTATCATCGATATATTCGGGCGATTGTTGGAATTAACCTTGAGAACCGAGTGTCAAGCGAATAACTTCTTCAAATCACGGGCCAACCCAGTCTTGAAAGTATTCTTCGAAGAAATCGTCTTCGCTGGTTTGGTCACGCGAATCGAATGAATGGTGTAAACAACGAACCGTCTCTCATCAGGAAGATTATGTTCTCATACTATTTTGACTCTGAAAGACCTTGCAATGCTGGGAACTAGAAGAGATGCGAATATAGGATAAAAGATGATCTAGAAAAACTAAACATCCATAATTGAAGAAGAGAAACTATTGATCGAGATTATTGGTGAAGAACGATCAACAAATTCATACAAGCCAAATCTTCAACACCTAACATACTCAATATTATTCAACAAACCAAACAACGTGCTGTTCAAAGACGAGCCACAACGTCATCCCCATCTCCAAAATTTACTGATCTACTAATTCGAAACAACAACATTTACACCTGCCCGAACTGCAAGAAGAAATTTAAACTACAAGGAATAACCAACCACTCAAGGTCCTGTGCAAAGAAGTGGTGTCAACAACATGGAATTCCAGTTGGATAACAAGTGGTCTCATCCAGTGCGGAAGAAACTGACTTCAAGTAAAGAGTGCTCAATGAAGGTCGTCATCGAAACCAAGTCTTCATGGCTTGGAGACGGCAACCGGAACAATCATTTCCTTACTTGAATTCATCAACAATTGAACAGAAAAAGGACTTTTAGAATACAGCTATTTTTGTGTATCTTTTTCTTATACCTTTCTCGTCTTCACCCTAAACCAAGGTGGTATGGGTATAAATACATACAAATACATTCAAAAATTCTTATCATTGTATGTCACCTCAATCAAAAATGGTACGCTTCTCAGTGGACACGGGATAGATCAACATCTGCAATTGAAGGAAGATGGTGTGAAATTAAAAACTAAATATCTCAGTAATGATTTGAGCTATCGAAGTGCGCTAAGTGGGAAAAAGCTCGCTATTTAGTGGGTGTGGGGTGTGGGTGTGAGGTGTGGGTGTGGGTATGGTGTGTGGGTGTAGATGAATGAAAAAGATACACCCACACCCACACCCACACCCACACCCACACCCACCCACGCCAGGTGGCCTAAAAGTACGGAAAAATAATGGGTATCTAATAATAACTGATGAAAAACTGTTAATGATATTTTTCATACTTTTTATTGATGTAGAGAGCTAAAACTTTCAGAAATAAAAGGTGTTAATTAGATATATATGTAATAAAAATTTCAGCTCTTTACATCAATAAAAAGTATGAAAAAAGCCATTAACAGTTTTTCATCAGTTATTATCGGATACCCATTATTTTTCCTTACTTTTGGGCCACCCGGTATAAAACATTAAGAAACAGCAAAGTTGAGTCACCTATTGCAAAGATACTTAAACGGAAATCAGTTCTATGTTTGTCCACGCTCTTATTGATCGAAGATTAAAGCCCCGTCTTCCAATCACAGAAATGATACTTCGAGATTTTCTGGGGTGGAGAACTTGAATATAAGCCCCATTTACCTCGAAATCCTATTGGTTAAGCAGTAACCAATAGAAATCAAGTTTTAGGAAAAACGACTTTCTTAAGATAATTCAAGGCGAAGAGTTCAATTCTGAGCTATTTTTGTCCCCAAATCCTATTAGTCGAGCAGTAACCAATAGAAGTCAAGTTTAAGAGAAATGATTTGCTAGAATAATTTTGATGTTTATACATGCTATGATGACTCATCTGGCTAATTCACTTTTTGAAGTACACATAACACTCGGATTTAAATCCGATATTTTCACATTTATTAACCCTACCTACGCAATACTTACTCTATCTTATTCATCATATATTGGAAATGATTATTGACAAGATCAAGATTTTTTTCAAACTCCATTTGTAGTAGTTCATTGTTACCAGTGATGTGCTGAACAGCTTTTGCTAGATGTGTTTGCGCTTCATTATAATCGCTAAGATGAAAATATAGGAGACCAAGATGATTGTGTACTATGGCCAGTTCTGACGAAGAACCTTTTTCTTCCAATGCCTGTTTGTAGTATTTAATCGCATCGTCACACTTGCCATCATTTTCAAGCATAATACCCATATTGTTGTAGATTGTGACAAACGGAGGTCGGTTACCAGACATATAAAGAGGGTGAAACAATCCAACTTTATTTAATTCATTATTTGATGATTCGAAGAGCGATTCAACTTCCTTCAAATTGTCAAGTGCGATCGAGTAGTCTTTTCTATTGAAGCGTATCATTCCAATTCTGTAATGTAGAGCACCACGAAGCTCATTAGAAAGAGTGCTTTCTTCGAGCATTTTCTGATAGAAATATTCAGCTTCGAGATCCTCTCCGAGTTCCCATAGAATATCACCTAACGTTAATAGAGTACATCCATCACCGGTATATTTTTCCAGTAGTTCCATGAGTTGCGAATCCAACTCGTCACATGATGTCAGTTCAATAGTACACGGATCTTCATCATATTTAATAGACTCAATACGCCAAATAGTACCAATGGAAAATAAAACTTCTAATTCGTCCTTCTTTGTACTGCAATTCCCAATGTAAGCATATGGTTGTCTTATTTTCTTACTAATTTGAAGTTGAAATTTGGCACGTCTATAACCATCTGCGATTTTTTCGTCTCCAGCATATACACCAACCACATCAGAATTTAATGTTGTTGAAAGAAATCCATTCATCGAGATTAAGCCATCTTTGTTGTCAATTAATTGTTGTAGAACGCTGCCTGATAGTGGTTTTCCACGATATACTTCTGTGATTAATAATTTAATACCATCTTGTTCTTGTTGACTACCATATCCGTCTAATTGTCTATGCAGATCGGTTATATAAACACGAAATTTGAATATATGTTGAAAATCTTCAGTTCGACAGACTTGGTTAACAGTACGGGAAAGACATGAATTTCCTGTATAGTGTTTAATAGCTTCACATGCTTTATAAGTCTTTCTTAATTTATCTATATGTTCCAATTGAGCGCTGTTTTTCTTGTAAATTTTGTGACAAAATGTCCACATTTCTGCTTGTCCTTTCGAATCGTGAGACATTCGAAGGAGGATGTCCATTATTGTTAGAAAACACAAAAATCTTTGTGATCCTTTAGTCAAATGTCGAATAGGTGCATTGTGCTCGATTTTTGCGTCAAATACGGTTAAGGATGGTGGAATTTCATTGACACGTGGCACATTTTTAGGATCAAATTCGTCATAGAACTCAGGTTCGACAGATTTGTTTAGTGTTGTAGTATCAGTTACGCCGAGTACATCTTTAGATAGTTCTTTAAATAGTGTATCTAGGTCTGTAGCCATGAAACAGGTAGAGTGAGAAACGTTTCTGCGTAAGAAAAGATAAACTTTTTGGAACAGTTTTTTGTGTCGCTGAGTCAATTTTACCAAAGATGAGTATCGCTCTAAGTCTGAAATGATGATAAAAATTCTGGCAATAGGTTGTTCAGCAATATATGAATTAAACTTTTCTATATCAACAAAAATACGATAATAATAGAATATATGATTTAGGCAGAGCTTCATTCTTTTCTGTTCATTAGAGGATAGTCCGTTATCATGAAACCAAATACCAATAAATGGTTGTTTCGGAGTTGGTTTCATCATTGATAAATTAATGTTTGGAAACTATATCTAAAACAAAAATGAAAAATCTATTTTGAACAAAAAAAGTAAAAGATTTATTATAGAGTCAAGATTCTTTTGTGATAGTTCTAATCATTCGTTGATAGTAAGAACGACATCGTGGTTCATTTGATGATTCGAGTGCCTTCTTATAATACTTGAGAGCTAATTTGAATTGATTTGTCTTGTAATAACTGTCTCCGATAGTACCAAATATTGTAGAACGATGAGTAATCGTTTCTGGTAAAGTAATATCTGCTACCGGCATCTGAGAATAAGATTCGTCGTCGGACTCGTCACTGACCGCAACGGAACTAATCGGTGTAGCACATTTTAAGGCTTTATCATATAACTTCTCAGCGTCGTCCTTCTTGCCACTCAAAGCATATATCAATCCCATATTGTTATAGATAGACGATCGATCTGTGTGTTCCGGTGGAAGTTTATCCAGTAAATAATTATAATAATTTATAGCTTGTTCAAATCGATTGAGAAAATATAGATAGTTACCAAAAGTGAGCCATGATAATTTTACTCCAGTCTCAAGCTGAATCTGTTTCTTGATTATTTGACATTGAGAATCGGAGTATTTTATTCTCACATACCTAACACCATCGGGTGCCAAATTCACGGATTCTACATGAAATATAGCGCCAAGACGAAATACAACACGATCAGAATCAATGTTAAGTAAATGCATATCATCGATGATTCCGATTTCGAATAGAACTGATATAAGACCATTATTTGCTGCCTTTCGAGCGATATCACGTGCTGTGAGAAGAGACTTAGTACCAAGAAGAAAAATACCAACTTTTATAAATCCACCACAGCTAGAGTGAATCAATTCGAGATCGTCTTTTGAGATGATCTTCGTGAGATACACGGTAAGCGGTACGGAGACTGTCGACGATTCGAGTACTCGTTGTTGAATGTCAACTAACTGCTTTTGTAATATGAACAAATCAAGTGGCTCATTCAGTTGATGAAGTCTTAAAACGACTTGAGAAAAATCAGGATACTGTTCAAACGAATTCAATCGTTCGCTATCTATATATAACGTATGAACATCCAAGTTGCTTTGTTGTTTACTTGTAGTTCTAGCAAATAATTGGTTACATTTCTGAACAATATCTTCGAATGTAATTTCTAATATAGGTATTTGTCGTAAAACATCAATGAATAATTGAAACTTAATAAAGTCGATTTGTTTTTTATTTAATTGAGGAATAAGTTCCTTCTGACGGTCGATTGTCGTTAACACATCAATTCGAGATGTATGAAAATGTTGTTCTCGAAAAAACGAAATATCTTTGTTTAATTGTTTTGTCAGATCTTCTGGGTTATTAAATACTCCACTTACTTTTCTTCTGTCGATCGGATACTTTATCACTAACGGACGAAAATAGTAAATTGCATGTATCTGTTTGAAATTGAGGCTTGATTCTAAAGCAAATGGTATTGCATTGCCTGAGATAACAAGAAATATTTCTGCTTGCAACTGCTCAGTAATGAATTGAATACAATTGTCAATATCAGTAAACTCTTTCAGAAAACATGATTTACTCGCTGCACTAAATAGGATGGTGTGATCGCAATGGAAAATGATAATACATTCATTAGATGGTGTATCAATCGGTATTTCGATGATTGAACTTCGTCCGATTGGACACTGTTGGGTGTGTAGCATTGTAAATAATTCGGTAGATCGATTCCAATACAAGGATCTTTTCATCATTGTGTTTGTGTCTTCCATGACTTGAGCACATAGCTGTTTCAGATCTAGATAAAGACCACTAATCTTAGTGGACATTGAAGCCCAGTCAGATAACGACTCATCATCTGTAGAACCAAATAGGTAAATTTTTTCTATACAAAAATGTTTGTATATTAATGGGACTACATAGTCACCCATAGCTGCTGAGATGATTAAGAATAGGATCTTGTCTTTGATCGATAACGTATACGACATAAATTTGAATTCATTCTCAAAGCTTTTGAAATCACATATTGAAAACAGACTCTTGTCATCAAGAGTCACATCGAGACAAATAACCATAATATTTTGACTATCATCAGACATTTGAAGTTCTTCTATCGAAACTATACGGAATATTGCACGAAAGTAACAGAATGAAACGATTGATAAAATGGCTTACTTAAATTTGTGGTCAATTGATCTGTACCAGTTGGTGACCCGCTCTTAACCATTTGAAACTCAACTATAGTTTCAGCTTGTTTTTGTTTCACGCTAACAAAAAAATGAAAGATAGTAAAGTGATACGATTTAGTCAATCAAAGTTCAGATAATAAAGCGTTACTATCATCTACTTTCAGATAAAAAGCAGCGAATCATATATTAGCCACGTTATACGTATGCGTTTGCTCGATTGTAACGATTTTTTCACTCATATTTCTCAGATACGAAAGAAAATTTCAAAATAAGACAGCTCTCAGAAGCTAAAAGCTACCGCAGAAAATCTGTATTGAACCAAAATGTGAAACACAACGGAGTGTTTGCAGTTGAGGACAAGAGTCTGTTGCCATGTCTTTAACAACTTTTGACATGGCTTCTTCGTAGTTTCGGCAAGGTAATGGTGATCCTACTTTCTCGTCCTATATGGAAACTTCTTGAAGTCGTGTTTCACAAAAATAAATCATTTTTCTGCATGTGTGAACCAAAATTTTTTTAGCGGTTTTAGGTGGTATATAGCATTGGGAGAAACTTTAAAAACCTAGGCTTTGAAAAAAATAGTCCAAACATGAGGACTAATTGAAACTGAAAGAGGATGAGGATGAATGATCAATTGATTTCGCTAAAACTAAATAGCACTGCGTGACTACAATAATTGCAAGTGAATCCACATAACGTCAATGTCAAAGGAAACAACTAGCACTTCTACACATTACACACTATCCTTTCTTTCGAAATCTCAAAACTATCGACACTATTTCAAGAACAAAAAATATTTGGATTGCATGACTACAGAGTTTATGTTATTTTCCATTTGAAACTGGAATCGATACAAAAAATTATTGCATGGCTTTCCACTCGTATATAGCTGTAGTCAAACATCTATGCATGTATATATAGATCAATGCACGCTTCACTATCGAGCAAATAGATCTGATCCCTTTTCGAGATCGAAAAATCAAATCAAGAAAAAAAACGCACGCTCACCCTGGTGGGTTTGATTCAGCTTTCAACACAATCTCAGAAACTGAGTGCAATCTTTCCGCTTGATCGATGAACGCTTTAATCAACTCTTGCCGTTGTCTTTCACTAGTAATAGGTAGCTCTACGCAATTGTTACTGCCATACACCACAATAGTGTTCTCAATAACACAAACTGCAGTTCCTTGCAACAGTGCAACGTGTACTACAACTGGCAGCCACATTGGATCGTTCGTATACAAAAATACCTTGATGAAGTGCTCCGCAGGAACAGTCTTTAGATGACGCAACGTAAGTCGATTAATACAATAATAAAGCTTTCGAACTGTATCGGAATGTAACTGCGTCACTGCCGAAAACGAAGAAAGAACCCTTCCAAGAGCATCAATAATCTCATCCATATCTGTAATTTTGCCACACAAAAGGTCAGGCGTTGGTTCATCAGTCACATGTTTAGTACGGTCTTTTTCACCTATTCTCTTCTCATCGTCGTCTGGAGTCCATTCGATATATGGGTTCTCATCTGTAAGTACAGCAACGAGATTGCTAATCACTTTATCGGTCACTGCCTTTTCTCCCATTTTCCCCAAAGCGGTGTATGCACTCTGTCTAGTCTCTGGATTCTCATCCATCAATACAGTAATAAGTCCGTTTATGACGTCATCGGTTGCTGCTTTTTCACCAATTTTCCCGAGAGCGTCGCATGCACTGCGTTTGACTTCCGAATTTTGGACATTCAATTGTTTATTCAGTGCAGCCACCAGCATATTGACTATATTACCCGCAGTTACTTTTCCAACTAATTTTCCTAAGGCTTCACATGCACTCAGTATTACTCCTCGATTGTTATCCGTGAATGCATTCATTAGCCCATTGATAACGTCCTCAGTTGCTGCTTTTTCATCCATTTTCCCGAGAGCTTGGCATGCATTGGATCTGACTCGTGGATCATTATCGACTAGTGCAGTAAGCAAGCCTTTAATCACCCCCTTGTTTGCTGATTCTTTTCCCATTTTTCCAAGAGCTCGACAAGCACTTGATTTGACTTGCCCATCATTATCCGCCAAAGTACTTACCAATCTATCGATCATGTCCCTGGTTGCCGCTTTGTCACCTATCAGTCCGAGAATTTCACATGCGCTCCGCTTGACTTCCACATTTTGATTTCCTAGTTCAGTTGCCAGCACATTGATCAAATCATGGATATCTGTTTTGTTACCTATTTTTATTAAAGCGTCCCGTGCCGTCAACCTCACTTCTGGATTAGAATCTCCCAATGCGTTTACCAACGCACCAATCATTCCAGTATTTTCTACATTTACACCAATTTCTCTGAGTGCCTGACAGGCATTCAGTCTGACATTCCAATTGTCGTCCTTCAATGCAGTCATCAGTCCATTGAATATGCTAACAATTGCTGCCTTTTCACCCATTTTTCCGAGAGCTTCACATGCGCTCGACTTGACTCGTTCATCGTTATCGTTCAGTACAGCCACTAACCGATCGATCATATCATTCGTTGCAGCTTTATCACCCATTCTTGCGATTCCTCGACATGCACTCCATCTGACATCATTATTCTCATCCCCAAGTGCAGCCATCAGTCCATTAACTACGTCAGAGGTAGCTACTTTTTCACCCATCGACCCGAGTACGCCACACACACTCTCTCTGACTTTCCAATCGGTATCTCTAAATCCAATTACTAGCCTATTGATCATGGCGTTGACTCCTGCTGTATCACCCATTTTCACGAGGGCATCAAATGCACCCGATCGTACTCGCACATCCGTATTCCCTAGTGCAGTTACAAGCTTGTTGATCACTTCGTAGGTTTCCCCTTCTTCATTTATTTTGTCCAGGGCTTCACGCTCACTCCATATGATATTATAATTCCTATTCCCAAGTGCATTCACGACTCTATTAATTACTTCATTGCTTGCTTCCTTTTCACCCATTTTCCAGAGAGCTTCATACGCTTTGCCTCTCACGAAATCATCGATATCTCCAAGTGCACTCACCAGCCGGTTCATGACATCGTCGCTTGCTGCTTTTTCACCCATTTTCCCGAGAGCTTCACAGGCTTTGCCTCGGACCATAGCACTAATATCTTGAAGTGCAATCATGAGTCTATTAATTACTTCCGGGGTTGCTGCTTTTTCACCAATTTTACCTAAAGCTTGACACGCAGTGCATCTGACAAGATCATTGGTATCCACAAGTGCTGTCAGCAGTGTATTAATAACTTCATTGCCTGCTGCTGTTTGACCCATTTTGCAGAGAGCTTCACATGCGCTGCCTCTAACAATATCATCCATATCCCCAAATACAGTCACCAGCCTGTTAATTACCGTGCTGGTTGCTGTTTTTTCACCCATCTGACCCAGAGCCCCACACGCCCTGCCTCGCACGCTCTCACTGGCATCACCAAGTGCACTGACGAGTGTGTCAATTACTTCATTGATCTCTGCTTTTTCTCTCATTTTACCGAGAGCGTCACATGCATTACTTCTGACATCAGAATCCTTGTCGTCAACTGCGCTCACAAGTCGACTGATCACCTCATTCGTCGCTGCTTTCTCACCCATCTTCCCGAGAGCGTAACATGCACTACTTCTCACACTGGAATTCTCGTCGCTAAGCACACACACAAGTCGATTGATCACCTCTTTCGTTGCTGCTATTTCACCCATCTCCCCAAGAGCATCGCATGCAGTGCTTCTAACACCCGAATTCTCGTCGCCAAGTGCACTCACAAGTCCACTAATCACCTCAGTGGTTTCTGCTTTTTCACCGATTTTACCAAGAACGGAACATGCACTTTTTCTGACACCAGAATTCTCATCACGAAGTGCAATCATAAGTCCACTAATCACCTCACTCGTTGCTGCTTTTTCGCTCAATTTAGCGAGGACGTAACATGCACTACTTCGGACATCAGAATCCTTGTTGCCAAGTACACTAACAAGTCCATTGATCAATTCACTTTTTACTGTCTTTTCACCGATCTTACCGAGAGCGTCACGTGCACTATATCTGACATCACAATTCTCGTCGCCAAGTGCAATCACAAGTTGACTAATCATCTCAGTCGTTGTTGCTTTTTCACCAATTTTACCGAGAACGTAACATGCACTTTTTCTGACACCGGAATTCTCATCGCTAAGCGCATTCATAAGTCCAGTAATCACCCGACTCGTTGACGCTTTTTCGCCCATCTCACCAAGAGCGCCACACGCGCTGCTTCTGACATC